CCGAGCGAGCTTCACGAGTATTTCGTTTTGCAAATTCAAACATGTAAAAATTGAACGGAGGTTAGTAGAAAAATGATTTTAACTTTTTTGGTTAAAAGATTAATAAATTACCATTAATATATTAATAACTATTATCGAAAAATAATAATTCTTTTAACAAATTAAAGTTATTTATTATTCTAACCATGTTAATTTTGATAATTCCACATTATTAAAAAGTATAAATCAAATAAATTTATCGAATTAGTGGTAATTTTTTTTATAAATTAAAATTAGTTAGGTATAATTCTAATCATGGAAATTTTAAAAATTACACATTGTTACAAACTATAAATTAAATTAATTGAAATAAATAATGAATTATTAAGGAATAAATCGTTAATTTTTATTTAATGTATATTTTGATTTAATTTAATGTCAATTTTTGCTAAGTATTATTTATTAAATAATATTTAACCTACAATTTATTTGTTTATTAACCTTTAAAAACTATATTTATATAAAACTTTCAAACTAATAATCTTAACTATATTTTAGATAAAATTAAACTTTTGAAAATGCTAATTTACCTCTCTAAGGATCTTTTAAGATTTTGAGTTTCTTTTAATAATTCTCCCATTATCTTTGACGTTTCCGAGATACTCCGAGAACTCGATCGTTTTTGTGTTAGTTTTCGGGACGAGACGATTTGATAAAAACAAATAAAAACTCGAGTTGTTATTTAAAAAATGACAGTTAAAAACGAGAAATTTCGCGCGAGATAATCGATCTTCTCGTATCGTTGTGCATCACTACTTTCACGATTGTTTATGGAGTAAAAACAATTTTTTTTCCTTCCAAGTTGGCCGCAGTCGTTAAAGCGCTTAGAAGTTTGAGATATATTCAGATATTTAGGTTATAGGTTCGAATCTTCCTGGAGTTGAAATTTTTTTTTCAATATTTTGAAACTGCTTTGATAATATTTTGAAACTTCTTTGAAACTACTTTAAAACTACTTTGAAACTATTTTTAAACTATTTTGAAACTACTTTGATACTACTTTGATACTAGTACTAGTAGTATACTACTACTTTGAATAATATATAATTATATTGTACACAATATTAATATTATTATATTTATATTATAATAAATAATAATAATAATAATAATAATAATAATAATAATAATAATAATAATAATAATAATAATAATAATAACAAATTTATTTATAAATTAAGAAATTCATTCGTTTAAGGTGGCATTAAGGAGTCAATTTTGCAAATTTTTCCTTTGAAATTTAAATTCAAAAATTTTTTTTCTATTCTCTTTTTTTGACAATTGAATTTTTTTTCTAAAATTATTTTCTTTTAATTCTAAAAAAAAATTCAAATGTTATATTATAATATTATATTACACCCAGAGAAATGTTTTATTTGAACCAAATATAATATATTTGAGTTAAATAAACGTATATTTGTCTCAAAACTAGCCTATTTATTTGGCGTAAATAAATTTTTTTATTTAAATCAAATAGAAATTTATTTGAATCAAATAAATATTTATTTGAATCAAATAAATATTTATTAGGCTGTGAGACAATTACAATATCATTTTTTTTGGGTGTACGCAGAAAAAAATCTTTATCTGGAACAGAAATATGTTTCTCTAGAATAGCCAAAAGGTTTTGTCTGATTTAGTGAAACATTTCGTTGTTTTAGTGAAATATATCGCTGTTTAAGGTAAAAGATTTTTTATTGTGTAATATAATAGAATATAGCTATTATAATTATAATAATTGTATGATAATTTTTTTTAAATATCCAAAATCCAATTAAATTTAAAAAATTGATAAATATATTTGAAAAAAAAATGACGCCAAAATTGCAACCCGTTTTGAATGTCAAGATTGCACACATCACACACGACACGTGTACTCGTGTGAGAGCCAACATATATAACACGAACATACATATAAAATTTTATATATATATATATATATATATATATATATGTAATCGTGAGTGTTGACTCTCGTACTGTATGCGCAATAGATCGTTTATATACTAAAAGTTCCGAGCCTTGTCCGTGAAAGAGACATAAGGTATTGCGAGGGTCAGCCGCTGAATCTGAATTTATTCTGTTTATTATCCAACTGGAACTTTTTAGGCGAAGGACTCGTCAATGTTGAGCTACTCTCTCGAGTGATAGTATAATACTGAATAATTCCTCTATTTCTACTTTAAAAAAAAAAAAAAATTCTATTCATTTCTATTTCTTCATCGATTTCATAAGTTACTTTTTTTTAAATATTTATTTAATGCAATTAAACAAGATGGAAAATTTTATAAAATTAAATTTTTAATTTAATTTAAGTGGTTAATTAAAAAAAAAAAAGGTTGACTGCCAAATGTTTTTTTTATTGTGCGACAATATTCTAGTATGAAAAAAAAAATCATAATTTTTTCTTCAATGATAAGCTTATCATGCATTAGGTATTTTAATGTTAATAACTGTTGTAAAAAGTTTTTTATAGTTGAAAATTTTGTTTTAAAACTGATAATATAGGAGTTTTTTTTCGGAGATTTGATTATTATCTTATTTATTAATATATTTCACCATAGAGAGAGGTTTATTTATTTGTATATATATGTTAATAGGCAATTGTGTAAATTTTATTTGTAGACATTTCTTCATTTCTCCAAAAAGTTGGAAATTTTTTTAGACTATACTCAACACATACACACACACACACACACACACACTTTACCTTGAAGTCTTCCAAATATAACGAGATCTCTTGCATTTCTATCAAAAAAAAGTATTTTAATGCTTTCATAATTCTTTAAAATTAGATTTTTATGGAACAATTTTATTTTCGTCTTATCATTTCTTTTTTTACTATTTTTACTTTACTTTATTTTTATTTATTACATTTAATATTATTTATTTAATTATTTCTTTTTAGTTATTTATATTATTCTATATTTATTTAATTACATATTTTATTTATTAAATATCCTTTTTTTGTTGAAATAAAACCCTCCTTTTTATTGTGATAAGTAAATGTAATTATTACTATAATATTGTGTTATTTTTCATTTAGTTTCTTTTTTTATCGTTCTTTTTTCAATTTTTTTTATTCATTTTCTACATAAAAGTAATGTAGAATAAAATATATAGTAAAAGTAAATAAATAAGTAAAAAAAAAAAATACAATTTTTTCCCCTCCGAGTTGGCCGTAGCTACGTTAAAGCTCCTTAGAAGTTTGAGTTATATTCAGATAGTAAGGTTATAGGTTCGAATCTTCCTGGAGTTGAAATTTTTTTTATTATATTTAAGTGTAAAATAATACTGATATAATAATTATATTGCATATAATCTTAATATTATTATATTATACAATATTAATATTATTATATTATATAATATTAATATTATTATATTTATATTATAATAATAATATTAATGAATATATTTATAAATTATGAAATTTATTCGTTTAAGGTGGCATTGAGGAGACAATTTTACAAATTTTTCCTTAAAAATTTAAATTAAAAATTTTGTTCTATCTTTTCTCTCTTCTTATTTTGTATTATTTACTATTTTTTTTTATTTTTTAATTTTATTATTTTTTTCAAACAAATTATTTTTTTTTTAATTCTAAAAAAAGAAATTCAATTATATTACATATAATAATGTTTATATTTTATTTTTATATTTGTTATTATTATTATGTATTTTTATTTGTTTTCTTAGATTTATTTTTACTATTATAATATATAGTACAAAAAAAAGTAAAAATAATTGTAATAGTGCAAATAAAATAGTAAAAATATATATAATAGTACAAATAAATATAGTAGTACAAAAAAATAGTAAAAATAAATGTTATTTTACAAATAAAATAAATTTTAATTTTACAAAATTTTATTAATAAGCATTTTCTAGTTGATAGCAATAGTTTTTTAAAAAAATTTTTGTACTATTACATTTATTTTTACTATTTTATTTGTACTTTTTGATTTATTTTTACTATTTTATTTGTACTATTAAATTTATTTTTACTACAAATAAATACAAATAAAGTAGTAAAAATAAATTTAATAGTACAAATAAAATAGTAAAAATAAATCAAAAAGTACAAATAAAATAGTAAAAATAAATGTAATAGTACAAAAATTTTTTAAAAAAACTATTACTATCAACAAGAAAATGCTTATTAATAAAATTTTGTAAAATTAAAATTTATTTTATTTGTAAAATAACATTTATTTTTACTATTTTTTTGTACTACAAATTATAATAGTACAAATAAAATAGTAAAATAACATTTATTTTTACTATTTTTTTGTACTACAAATTATAATAGTACAAATAAAATAGTAAAAAATCTAATAGTACAAATAGAATAGTAAAAAAAAATACAGTGGTACAAATAAAATAGTAAAAATAAATCAAATAGTACAAATAAAATAGTAAAATAATCTAATAGCAAAAATAAATCAAACATTACAAATAAAGTAGTAAAAATAAGTCTAATAGTACAAATAAAATACTAAAAAATCTAATAGTACAAATAAAATAGTAAAAATAAATGTAATAGTATTACAGTAAAAATAAAAAAAATTTCCTACAATGTCCCTAAAAGAATATGAAATATTACAAAATATTCTATTATAGAAAAATTTGTTAATTCGCGAAAACTTAAAATTTTCACGCTAAAAGTATACATATATATTAGTGTGTGTATAGTATGATTTTCAAGTAAATTGTGTGTGGGAGTGTGGAGTACGCGTGTATAATAAAATATCCACGTGCGCCTATGTGTAGAGCAAACGTGTGCGACTCGGTGGCCGTGGCTATGGCCTTCCGTCCCCCCTTCTTCATACACAACTCGCTCACACCCCCTCCCTCCCTCCTTGCCCCCCCTTCTCTTCTTCTCCCACACCACACCATTATACTGAATCTACACATAGTGCGAGACTATCCACTAGAGTAAGTAAGAGAGAAAGAAGGAAAAAGAGAGAGCGAGTAAGAGAGAAAGAGAAACTCGCGACCAAGAAAAGAGAGAGAGAGAGAGAGAGAGAGAGAGAGATAGTGAAAGAAAGATAGCGAGCGCGAGAGAGAGAATGTCGCGAATGTCTAACCTAGGATAGTGGTGTTTAGTATAGTGGCTAGGATAGGCAAGAGTTGCCGTTCGTCTGGTACGTTCAGTATTCGCATCGCACTGCCCTGAAGACGTTCGCAAAATTAAAGTGTAAAAAAAAAAAAAATTACAATTTACCGGTGTTTTTATTTCAAAAAAATACTCTAATCCAAAATTTTAGAGGTTTATTATGTGGTGCAAGGATTTAGTTTGTGAACTATTAGTACACAGTACATTGTGTCAATAAACATTTTTTTGAAACAATTTTTTGTTTAATGAAAAATTTTTTTTAACCAAAAAAATGATTTTTGTGCCAATGAAGATTATTTTGTGAAAATTTTTATAAATGGGAATTTTAGTGTTAAAAAGTGTATTTTTTTGGAGTCAGCAGAAATTAGTGAAAATTTCTTTTCCATGAGGATTTAATAATTGTTGTGTTTTTTAATTCAGCAATAATTAGGATTTTTCAATAGTCGTTTTTCCTTTTATTTAACATTTTTGAAAGTGAACAAAAAAAAAATGTCAACAAATACACATATAGGTAGAGAGAGAGAGAGAATACATTGACTTATGCTTCGCGCGATTGTCACGTGTGACGTAAGCGCGCTTCATTTTTTTTTTCTTTCGCAACTATAATTAAAAAAAAAAAAAATATTTTATTATTTTTTTCTTCTTCTTCTCTTATTCTTATTCGCGTGAAATTTCGACAATTTTTTAATATTTATATATATATTGTTTCTTTATTGTGTGACAAAAGACTTAACTGTGTATATGTTTGTCAATTGACGAGCGTTCGAGTGCAAGTGAATATAAAGGAAGAGCAGTGACGAGTTATATATATATATATATATATATATATATATATATATATAGGCTATATAGTTATAATTCAAGTCTCTTGGTGTTCGTTTGGTGTCAGTAACTGGTTGCAAAAAAAAGAAAAAAAAGTTTGGAATTTCTCACAGTTGGAAAGTTTTCGAAAGGGTTAAAAGGTGACGAGGTAAGAAGACCCTCTTTGCATTTTTAGGCATTACCAAGTTTCGAGTGCTTCACAGAATAATATTTTTTTGTCAAGAAGAAATAATTTTTAATTATTATATTTTTAATAATTTTTCCGTTAATTTAAACTTCTTTCGATATTTTTTTATTATTATTTTATTTTGTCTGGTTTTATTTATTATTCTTATTTTTTATTAATTTTCCCTTCTATTTAAAAATATAATCCGTAATAATAATAATAATGTTTTTATTATTTTTATTATTATTCTTATTATGGATTATATATTTAAATAGCTTAGAAAATTAATATTCATTTTAGTATAAAAAATTTAAAGAATAATGAATAATAAATAAAATACAGTGAAAGGTGAAATAATATAAAAAATATTTAAAAAAAAAATTAAGCGTTTTTTTTTTAAAGAAATTTATATTGTTTCTTGTATTATATAAAAAAATTACGAGGCACGTGTAAAGAACAAAATGTTTCTTCACATTGACAAAAGAAAATTATTAATTTCGATAATATGTTTACTTTATGGTATGGATATATAATCAACATATATGAACATTATTGATGAGCGTTTACTTTGAAATTGTTACGAAATTCGCGAACTGCACAAGAGATCTTTTGTATGTATATATATATATATATATATATATATAAATGTGTACTGTTAATATAAAATCACATGGGAAATGTTTTTTTGACATTAAATTATAATTCATCAGCTCCATGAAGAAGCTAAAAAAATTTTTTAAAACAATCTTTTATTTAAATAAATTTAATATAATTAATTTAGAAATTTCTTTGCTAATTTTTTATATTAATGTAATATATATTTTTATTTTAATTAATTTAGTTAATTAACTAATTAGTTGATTAGTTTTTAATATACGTAACAAAATCTTCACCTGTAACAGCGATAAGTTTCTCTGGATTAGCGATATATTTCTCTAGAATAGCGAAAACTTTCTCTGTTTTAGTGAAAAATATCTCTGTTCCAAAGAAACTTATCGGTGTTATAGGTGAAGATTTGTAGTTGATTTATTTCTTACTAATTAGTTGATTTATTTTTAATTAATTAGTTTTTTTTACTAATTAACAATAAAGATTTATTTACTAATTATTTATTTATAATAAAAGCAAAAAAAATGTCTTTACAATAATTAAAAATAAAAATTTGTTTTTACAGAAAGAAAAAATTGTCTGATTAAATTAATAATTCATTATAATGATAAGAAAGTTTAAAATCAATTAATTTTACACGAAAGATCTCTTGTGATAAAAATGTCGCATATTTTTATTAAGATAAGTTTATCAAATTTGTTCGTAACATTGAAATGTAATTTGTAATAGGTCAAGATCAATAAATGTATGTTTAGATTGATTTTTTTTCCACATATATTGATCTGGTATATTACAATGTGTGTGTGTTTACAATTATTATTTTTATAAAACATCTATTTTTAGATGTCAAAAAAAAAAAAAAAAAATTGAATTTTTTTTCCACTATCTCATTACCAATTCAAATTTTCGATCTTTAAAGTTTGTATTTTGTGATTATGTTAAAAAATTACCAAACATTAATACGATTTCAATTTCTATGTGTGTGTGTGTGTAATAATATTTTGAAATTCGTTTTGAAAGCGCAGGTACTTTTACTTTCTGTCAGCTATTTTCATTATTATTATTATTATTAGGTTTTTCTTTTGAAAATATTTTTTTTTTCGATTAAAAGCAAATCTCCTTTTTTATGAATGGATCTCGCCTTGATTGCGTTGGTGATACGTTTGGGATGTTCAATAATCGTGATAGGTTGTTAAGATCAAGATCAGTATAATTGAAGTTGGATAAAAATTTTAAGATCTATATCTGAGAACTATTTTTTCCAATGATTTTTTTGTTGTTTTTTTTTTTTGATTAGCGTTCTTTACTTATTTTTATTTTTTTAAATTTTCAAATCGATTTTTTTATTCACATTTTGTTATAGACAATTTTTTTTTAGTTTTTAGGGTTTCGTGGCCCAGACCCGAAAGCCTTATAGTTTCGCTTTGGCGTCCGTCTGTCTGTCCAACACTCGTAGAGTTGCCATGGTAACAGTTACCATAACAACCGTTTTCATAATAACTAACTGTTTCCATAGTAACTAACGCCACAGTAACTAATGCCACAGTAACTAATGCCGCAGTAACTGATGCCACAGTAACTAGTGCCACAGTAACTAGTGCCACAGTAACTAATGCCACAGTAACTAGTGCCACAGTAGCTAACTTTTATTATAGTAACTGTTACCATAGTAACTAATGCCACAGTAGCTAACTGTTATTATAGTAACTGTTACCACAGTAACTAATGCCACAGTAACTAGTGCCATAGTAACTAATGCCACAGTAACTAACAGTTGGCATAGTAACAGTTACCATAGCAACCGTTTCTATGGCAAACCGTTATCACAAGAACCTTAGCAACGGTAATAATAATATTGTCCACGAAACCCTGAATTTTGAAGAATTAAAACAAAAAATATTTAAAAGAAAATTATGATAAATATGACAATTATATTTTCAAACACATTTTGGAATATAGTAGACAATTATCGTTTGCCAAAAAACTGAATTCAAATAATTTCAAAATGATTTTTGATATTTTACTATATATTATATATATATATATATGTATAAAAATCAAGCTATATAGTATCTAAAACTCGGCAAAAATAAGACAACTATATTTTCAAAAATTATTTTCAGTCTAGGTCGACCTTCGACTCTCGATTTTGTCTTTCTCTTTTTTGTTATTTATTAATTTTATTTTCTCTTCCTCGTTTCTATTTTTTTTATCTCTTCCTTGATTAGAAATTTTTGTTTTTTTAAATTGGAATATTCTTTGATTTTGTATAACATTTATTTTGATTTTTTGATTTTGTATAAAATTTATTTTGATTCATGATTTTATATAGAGGATACAACTGACGTTGTTGAACGATCATGCGGTGACGTTAATGTTGTTAAAGTTAATAGTAGTAGTAGTGGTGGTTCCCTCATTCTCTCTCGCCGTGTTACGTGGCGGCCTTCATCCCCAGGGCCGAGGGCCAAAACCGTCTGATGTTTAGTATTGCGCCGGTAACGTTCAATAAATATCGCGATAGCTTGCTATAAGGGCCCCGTAGCGTCGCGCCTTATATATATATATATATATAGGTCCATAAAATTCGTTCACATTACACATACGTGATCCTCAAACGTAAACTTTGAGAAAATCAAGATTTACTTTTTGTTTTTTTTTTTCATCAGGAAATATATCTCCGTTTCGTCAATTAACGAGAGCTTTTTACATTACAATAAAAATTACATCAGAAATATAATTTCGCAATATTTCTTTTTATATTTTCGCCGATTTATATTAAAAAGAAAAAAAAATTCACGTGTGAGAAAAAAAGATTTATTTTTAAATTGCATAAATTTTATTTTTGGAACTTAAAAGTAAAATCCATCATGTAAATGTGGATCATTCACTAATCAACAGCCTCGAAACACTTGATATCCTCCTATCACGTACACACACACACATAAAATATGTTTCCAATCAGAAAAAAGTAGGTCATACTTTAGAATTGAAAAAGAAGTATTTTTTGGGCTTTGAAAATTTTTTTAAAATTTTTGTTGAGTGATTTTTAGTAAAATATTTTCCAGGGTCAGTTCTAGCTTTGACTCTATTAATTGTGAAGGTCATTTGTATGGGAGAATGCAAAGATTTTGAATTGCTTTTGAATATCGTGAAAGAAAAAGTAAGTTTGGGTAGGGATGGTGAATTTTAAATACACACCAATACTTGAGTCAAGGTTTTGTCCTAATTCGGGTTCAGAGACCATCTGGACCAAAAATGATAGGTCATATATATATATACTCATTGCGTTTCGCTTTAAGGTCATTTACTTTTACCAAACTCTCAAGGCTCACCAGAGCCATCTTGCTTCTTTTCTTCTTTTTTTTTCCCCCATATCACGTCACTCTTTGAAAAATTTTTTTTGTTCACACTTCATTGGAAATGATATTTAAAAACTTTTTTTAAATTTCTTTTTGGTAATTATAAAATTAGGGCGAAATAGTTTTTGCATTTATCAAATGGATGAAAATTTATCGTTAATTTTTTTTTTTTATAAGGAGATTAAATTTTTAAAGATATTTGTGTTTCGGATTGATTTTTCAAATTAAAGTATTATTTTGGGGGTTTTTCGGAAATTTATTTCCGAGCCGAAGTTTTAGCCGAAATTTATCATTTTGTTTATATGACTTTTTTATTTTAAAAAAATTTAATTTTAGCGAATTTTAATTTTAAAAAAAAAATTCTCATTTAATTGAATTTTATCTGATTCGAATGTATTTAAATGACAGAAATTCACCGAATTTTAATTTGTCCGAATTTTCATTTACGTCCAAATTTTTTATTTGTACGAATTTTAATTTTTCCAAATTTTCATTTGTAAGAATTTTAATTTGTACGAAATTTTAATTAATAGAATTTTTGTGACGCCAAATTTTCAATTGTCCGAAATTAAAAAATTGACCGAACAAACAAATTGACAGAAAAATTTCAGCGCAATTTTCAGAAATTGACTAATCACGATTTTCTTGATAATTTCTAATTGATTATATAATTTTTGTAAAATTGCGCCAAAATCTTTCTGTCGATTGTTTGTTTGGACATTTTTGTAATTTCGGACAAATGAAAATTCGGCGTCGCGAAAATTCTATTAATTAAAATTTTGTACAAATTAAAATTCTTACAAATAAAAATTTGGAAAAATTAAAATTCATACAAATAAAAGTTTGGACAAATAAAAATTTGGACAAATAAAAATTCGGACAAATTAAAAATCGGACAAATTAAAATTTGGACAAATTAAAATTCGGACAAATTAAAATTCGGACAAATTAAAAATAGGGCAAATTAAAAATCGGACAATTTAAAATTTAGTGAATTGTGAATTTTTACCATTT